AGGAAAATGATAAAATGTATGTACTGACAGATTTTTAAAAATGACCTTTTGTCCTTTTAAACCAACTGTAAACAATTTTATAACAACTCTTTATCTGATGAAACAAAAAAATTAACATGATTGATGAAAGAGGATATTCCTAATTGACACGTCTTCATCACCAGGACCCCTCTGCTGGAGCGGAGGATGACCCGGATGAGGACCAAAGGATACCACGGCCGGACCATCAACAGGAGGTATTTGTCTGTTAAGTAATGTCTTGGAATAATTTTATTTCTTCACTGTCACAATAAAATGTGAAAAATACCTCTGAGACTGAGTTTAATGTAAGTTTTTGTTTTTTAAATACAGATTAAACCAGAAAGTGATTAAATGTATTTACAGATTTTTATATATGACCTTTTGTCCTTTTAAAACAACTGTAAACAATTTTATAACAACTCTTTATGTGATGAAAGAAAAAAAATAAGCTTTATTGAAGGAGGATATTCCTAAAAGTGAAAAATGATCAAATGTATTTAGCGACAGATTTTTAAAAATGACCTTCTGTCTTTTTAAACCAACCATAAATAATTTTATGACGTTTCTGTTTATTTGATGAAACAAAAAAAAAAGCTTTATTGATGAAAGAGGTTAGTCCTAATTGACACATGTCTTCATCACCAGGACCCCTCTGCTGGAGCGGAGGATGACCCGGATGAGGACCAAAGGATACCACGGCCGGACCAACAACAGGAGGTATTTGTCTGTGAACTAATGTCTTGGAATAATTTTATTTTTACATTAGCTCAAAAAATATTAGAAAAATACAAATGGGACTGAGTTCAATGCAAGTTTTGTTTTTTAATTCAGACAATACCCGAAAATGATAAAATGTATTTCAGATTTTTATAAATGACCTTCTGTTCTTTTAAACCAACCATAAACAAATTTATAACCGCTCTTATTTTTTGGTGAAACAAAAGAATAAGCTTTATTGATGGAGGATATTCCTAATTTACACGTCTTCATTACCAGGACCCCTCTGTTTTAGCGGAGGATGACCCGGATGACAACGCCAAGGATACCACGGCCGGACCATCAACTGGAGGTATTAATCTGTGAAGTAATGTGTCCTGGAATAATTTTATTTTTTCATTAGCTAAAATAAAATGGAAAAGGATAAAATGTATATACTGACATATTTTTTTAATGACCTTTTGTCCTTTTAAACCACTGTAAACAATTTTATAACAACTCTTCATCTGATGAAACAAAAAATATTAACATGATTGATGAAAGAGGATATTCCTAATTGACACATGTTTTCATCACCAGGACCCCTCTGCTGGAGTGGAGGATGACCTGGACGAAGGCGCCAAGGATAACACGGCCGGATCATCAACAGGAGGTATTTGTCTGTGAAGTAATGTCTTGGAAGATTATTTGTTTATTAGTTCAATGAAATTAGTAGAATACTTATCTACAGGACTGAGTTAAATGTAAAGGTTATATTTTTTTCATTTAGATAAAACATGAAAAATGATAAAATGTATTTAGCGACAGATTTTTAAAAATGACCTTCTGTCTTTTTAAACCAACCATAAATAATTTTATGACGTTTCTGTTTATTTGATGAAACAAAAAATAAAGCTTTATTGATGAAAGAGGTTAGTCCTAATTGACACATGTCTTTATCACCAGGACCCCTCTGCTGGAGCGGAGGATGACCCGGATGACGACGCCAAGGATACCGCGGCCAGACCATCAACAGGAGGTATTCATCTGTGAAGTAATGTGTCTTGGAATAATTTTATTTTTCTTTATTTAAAAAAAAAGGATAAAATGTATGTACTGACAGATTTTCTAAAATGACCTTTTGTCCTTTTAAACCAACTGTAAACAATTTTATAACAACTCTTTATCTGATGAAAAAAAAAAATTAACATGATTGATGAAAGAGGATATTCCTAATTGACACATGTCTTCATCACCAGGACCCCTCTGCTGGAGTGGAGGATGAAATGGACGACGATCCAAAGGACACCACGGCCAGACCATCAACAGGAGGTATTTGTCTGTGAAGTAATTTGTCTTTCAAGGCTCATTAGCTCAATAAAATGTTTGTAAAATCTTGTTACGGTAAAGACGTTAACATATTGTCTCAATTGCAATATAGAATACATACTCAGTTTTTAAAAGACAATAAATTGCTATATGTAATTATCAGTGGATGAGGGGGCCAGCGGCAGGACCTTCTCTTTTCCTTTCCCCTGTTGTTTGTGCCTGTCTCGTCTTAATTTGTTCCTACTTTTAATAGTCATTATTGCATTGATGCGCCTCTCT